CCCAGAATTCTGGGAGTTGTAGTCCACAGGTCTTAAAAGCTGCCAACTTTGGGGAAACCCTGGTTTAGAGTTATAATGGAGAGAAGAGCAATAATAATACTGAGAACTCTCCAAGTTAAGAAACATCATCAACGTATCTAAATCAGCGGTGGGATTCAAGCGGTGTAAACAACCGGTTTGGTGAGTGTGCGCTTCGTTTGGTGTGTTTGACAACAGCTCTAAAACTTGCCTTACCTTCAGCCCCAGTGAGTAAAACAGCTGATAGGCGTGGCAATCCGCTCCTATCAGCTGGGCTTCAAACTAAGGAAATATAGGACAGACAAGTGCAGGGGCGGATGGGCGGGGCCAACTCATTGACAGAACTACCGGTTCATCCAAACTGGTCCCAACCGGCTGAATCCCACCCACCTCCTGATCTAAATCCATGCACCTGCTGAATTTTACCTCTGCAGGTGACTTATCACAAGCTTCTGAATACTGGAGTAGGAAGATTCCATAGACTGGCCAAGTTTTTTTAAACCCTGCAAGGAGGAAAAAAGTGCATTTTTTGGTCACACTGGATGAACCAACCCAATCCACAAGAATTTCATACTATACATGCCGACCTACCTTTACGGTTAGCTGGTTCATTAGCAGGGCCTGAAGTTCAATACTTTTTGGAAGAGAAGAAGAAAGGAGAAAATAAACAACAAAAAAACACAACTTCATTTTTCCCTGCTGGAAGAAGGATCAAACGTGGACGGGGTGTTGTGGCCTGCGGCAAACTCGGACAGTTAGGAGGTTGGGGAGGAACATGGGCTAGTCCTGGAGTCTGGGGAAGGCTCTGACGAGGACTCTGGATCAGAGGCAGAGATGGGGCCAGGGCCGTCCGACAGTTATCAGATGCCTTCAGAGTTGGAGATCAGTGGGGAAGAAGAACAGCTAGAGCCTGTTCCCAGTGTGCGCATGCACAGAGCTGCCAGGAGAAGGGAACAGTTAAGGAACAAGGGCTGACTTGGGAGTTAAGTCACAGGTGGACGGTGAATGGCCCCTCCCATAGGTAATAAAAGAGGAGTGAAAGGGGAATGGGGTTTGCAGGAGACAATTAGTTCATTTGGCTGAAGATCTGTTCCTGCATTCTTGCCAAGTAATTGCTGCTACAGTGTGGTGTCTGAAAGATATCAGCCTGGCAACTCTCCAAGCCTGATAAAGGTCTGTATTGTGAAATATCTTTAAAAACTGTTGGTCGGGACTTTGCTGGAGAGGAATTCCCAATAAACTAAATAAAAGGGGTTTATCAGGACAAGGAGTCAGCTGAATGCTGTTGGGGAAGCCTAGGTCAGAACACAGGGTTGGAATACTTACCTTGCTTTGCCCCACAAAAGTAACTCCATAAATTCATCTTGCACAGACGTGGTTGTATTTTTCTCCTAAAAAAAACATAAAAATAAAACTGAAGATTGCAGAATGCAGATGTTTCAAGCCTCCTCTTGAATCCACAAACATCAACAAGCTGTCAAATGACAAACATACACCCAGTGGTGGGATTCAGCCGGTATGGACTGGTAGTTCGGGCGAACTGGTAGTTCGGGCAATGCTAGTCTGTCCTATATTTCCTTTGTTTGAGGCCCAGCTGATAAATGCACTGCACCTCAGCCATTTTACTCGCCAGGGCTGAGGTAAAAGTTAAATTTTAGAGAGGTTTTCAAATGCACCATGTGCACTCACCGAACCGGTTGTTACACCGGGATGAATCCCACCTCTGCATACACCCCTAATTTTGACCCACACCTGTTCGACTGGGACGGACCAAAATCATTGGCCACGTGTGAATTCATTGAAGAGCTGGTCTTCAACCAACGGCTCTATTGATAAACGTGTTGGTTCGGAGCCAGGCACTGCCAACGTCATAAATATGAGTCAGTTGCCACACATCTCCATTTTGATCCCACCAGTATGGTTGTTAAGTGTGAAAAATTGGTCCCAAGTCATTTTTATCCCCCTCAGAGCCTTTGTAACTTTGAATGTGACCTGTTGTAAATTGAGGACTACCATTTAAGAATTACAACGGCCCTGAAAAAAGTGACTTAGGACTGTTTTCCACGCTTACGACCATGGTCACGTGATCAAAATTCAAGACCCTTGGCAAGTGACTCACATTTATGACGGTTGCAGTTTGCTGAACAACCATGTTACTTTTTTTAAAAAGAACGGCGATTCACTTAACAGTGACGAGAAAAGTTGTAAAATGGGGCAAAATTTTACTTATCCGATGATTCGCTCAGCAACAAAAACGTTGGAGGCTCCCTTGCGGTCCTTAAGTGGAGGATGGCCTATATTTTAAAAAAAGCATTAATCATTGGAGAGAATCGTTTTGGCAGTACCTGCACAAATTTGGTTAACCGTGAATCCATCTGCAGCAATATTTCTTCCCAAGCTTCACACATGCAGGTCAGCGAAAGCTTTATGTACTGTTTGCAAATAGAGGGGGGAGAAAAAAAATCATCAAATATTAGGGGAAAAGGCATAAATTGTCCATTTCCTTATAATCACATTGTGTTTAACCCAATGTTCAGTTTTCAAATGAACCAAAACAAATAGCACACATCGCTATAACAGGATAAAAGAATTACAAATTACAGTACAATAATAACCCCCCATTAGGATCGGCCTTATATCAAAATAATCATAATATCTCTTTTTTTCCTTTTCTTTTTGAGCTTAGATCTTAATGCCTTATTCAACGGAAGCAAATGAGTTAGAAGTCAATGCCATTTTTTTCTCTTTTTCCCTTGCTTTCCCCCACTATTCACTTCCCTTTTTCCTTCCCCAATTTCCCTAATATTTGTTTTTATATTCTCTTTGTATGTTATATTATAACCTAATAAAACTATGGTCTTAAAAAAGAACCATGATCATAATAGCTCTGTAATGGAGAAAGAATATTAAGTGCCCACATTACATAGCTGACACGGAAATAATGTATAGGTTATATAGTGACATTTAAGTGTGCTTAAGAAGAGATTGGACTGCCATTTGTCAAAAATGGTATAGGGTCTCCCGCTTGGGCAGGGGGTTGAACTATATGACCTATAAGGTCCCTTCCAACTCTGATTATCAGATATCTGTTATCTGCTAACATTTCAACCCTGAACAGTCAACCTGTTCTGACCAAGGCTTCCTGAGATACCAACAAACACACGTTAAATCCAAAATCCTTTTATTTTAGTTCAACAGCTGTGAATCATCATCATTCACAGCCTGTAATGAGTCTCAACCAGTTATAAATAGTCCCAAGCAAGACTACCGAAGTTCTTCGGGAGAAGTCTGATAAGCACGCACCTTTATCTTTCTTGAAGTGTGGCCAACGACTAAAGTACCAATTAGTCTTTCAAAACAAAACGGAGCACAAATTCACCATGGAGCTTTCAGGTTTCAAACCCACCAGAACGAACAAAGTTGCTTCCTGCAAAGGCTCCTGTCCCTTTGTACTTCCTTTATATCTTATAGGAGGGGCAATCATCTCCAAGCCTTACTCCTGAGTTGCCCCTTTTGTCTTAACTGTTCTTGCCTTCTGGCAGCTCTGTGCATGTGCACACTGGGAACAGGCTCCCCCTCTTACTCTGCCTCACTGATGTCAGATTCTGGAGGCTCTGGAGTCAGCACGTAACTCCCAGATGGCCCTGGCCCCATCTCTGCATCGGATGCCAGCACCCTTGTCCAAGTCCACCCCAGACTGGCACATGTTCCTCCCCACTGTCCAACTCTGCTGACATCCGCACAGGCTGCCAGCGGACCACAACACAGTCCTTGATTCATTTAGTGACGGTTCGCTAAAGTTACAACGGCACTGAAAAAAGTGACTTAGGACCGTTTTTCACAACCTGTGCCATATCCTCATGATTACGTGATCAAAATTCAGACACTTGGCCACTGACTCATATTTACGACGGTCGCAGTATCCCCTTTTGCAACCTTCGGACCAGCAAAGTCCAGGGGGAAGCCTGATTCGCTAAACGACAAGGTTGCTAACTTATCAACTGCAGTGACTCACTTAACAATGGTGGCGAGCAAGGTCGTTAAATGGGGCCAAAATTTCTGAACAACCAATGCCTCACTTAACCACAGAAATTCTGGGCTCAATTGGGGTCGTAAGTCAAGGACTACCTGGATTATGGTACAAAGGAACGATTTGTTCTTGAAAAGTTTGTTAAGATGGCTACTAAAGATGGCATGGATTTTACACATCACCTCCTCCATAAAATATCTTGCTGTTGGTGCATATGTGAAAAGCTGGAGATTTTATTAGCGTACCTGCAGAAGAGTTGAAATATGTGTAAATTTTCGGGCCATTCGTGTCACTTCTGGTAAATAGGTTGAGAGCAGACTGGTATCCATCTAAATGAGAGAACCAATTTTGTAATCCAGACAATACTATATTACATGGCCTCTACTAACTGCAGAACTGGGTACAACACAGAACAGAAAAAAAAATTACAGCTTCTTATTTTTATAAGGTAAAGGTTCCCCTCACGCATCCGTGCTACTTGTTTCTGGCTCTAGGGGGCGGTGCTCATCTCGGTTTCAAAGCCGAAGAAAAGCCAACGCTGTCCGAAGATGCCTCCGTGGTCATGTGGCCGGCATGACTAAATGACGAAAGGCACATGGAACGCTGTTCCCTTTCCCACCAAAGGGGTCCCTATTTTTCTACTTAAATTTTTTTTACATGCTTTCGAACTGCTAGGTTGGCAGAGGCTGGGACAAGTAATGGGAGCTCACTCCGTTACGCGGCGCTGGGGATTCAAACCTCTGAACTGCCGACCTTTTTGATCAACAACCTCAGCGTCTCAGGCCCTGAGTTTTTATGTGGGGACACAATTTGGGTTTTTAAAACGGGGGAATAATGGTTGAATGAATGTTCTTTTTCAAAATATGAAAGGAATATATTCCAAAGCTGGTGTGTGATCATCTTCTTTTAATGGTCCCATAATCCCTTGAGGAGTGGAGTCTGGGCAAGATAGAAGAGTAAGAAGCTGAAACGTGTGATAATAGTAATAACATATTATAACTGATTGATTTGGATTCGATAAGAGAATGAATATAACTTAGGTAAGGATGGAATATATTTTTGAAAGATAATTGCAATGTTAATGATAATATAACAATTGATCAATATGATATAAAATATCGATCAGAATGGTTATAAATATAAACAAGTAAGAAATGTATGATATTATTATGTGCACAAAATATATGCACCCAACCGACACACTGTAGAACTGAAAGATGGTTTTATTTGTTGTTTTTGTTATAAAAATAAAAAACTTAAAAAGAAAAAAGAAAACAGGGGAATAATGGTTGAGTGAATGTTCCTTCTCAAAATATGAAGGGAATATATTTCAAGGTTAGTGTGTGATCATTTCCTTTTAATTACCCTATAATCCGTTGTGGGGCAGAGTCTGGGCAACTGAATGGAGCTCATAGAGTGTTTTTACTGGCCGGATGCCCTTCCTGTTACCAGTGGGGAGTTTTGTTCGGCAGATAATATCCTCATTGTGCTCAGAAATATTTGCCTCTTAACTAGGATCGAACTCACAACCTCCTGATGGTGAGGCAAGAGCTCCACCTTTAGGCCCTCGCACCACTTCAAAGTTAGCCTGTGATGCTCTTATCTAAATAAACACCTGGAAAGTTCTCGACGTCCTACGGAAGAAAACAGCACATGGGAATAATCGAGTGGCCATGACCTTCTACTCACTTGGAAGTATGTTATTTCAAGATCGGTGTCCGGACCATTGTCTACTTCTGTCACAACCGAAAGTGATTTCAAGTCACTGGATAAGCACAATGCAAGGCAGGAGCCTGTCACCTGGAACAATTGGACGGCAAAAACCATAAACCACATTTTCTTTTAAGATTTAAAA